CGTGGATATTTAATTTCGTGGTTTTGCCGAAAGTCTGCCAACAAGCCTATACAAAATATGTAATTCGTTGAACATTTAATTTCGTGTTTCACTTGTACCCACGAAATCCACGAAAATTGGTATCCAACGAATAATAATGAATCCACAGTATATTGAATACATTTTTAATTTCAAATTGTTGTTCAAATTTCTAGCCAGGGGAAATAGCTGTTGTTAAAAACAGTTCCTAAATTGATGAAATACAATAGATAGATACAAAAAATAGGTCTAGGTTGGTTAAGACTTGGTCGAGTATGAATCAGACTAGGTCGAGTATGGTTCAGACTAGGTCGAGTATGGTTCAGACTAGGTCGAGCATGGTTCAGACTAGGTCGAGCATGGTTCAGACGCGTATAAAATGGTTAAGTACTGGTCGAGTAAGGGTCGAGTACAAGTTCAGACTGTTAAGTATGGTTCAGACTACAGTCGAGTATTATCAAGTAAATTTCAGACCAATTCAGACTGGTCGAGGAAAAATCAGTACAGTCGAGTACAGATATTGGCCATTTCAGACTTTTACTGGTTTGTAGTGTAGTTTTCTCTCTTTTGTCTGGCAAAACTGTTTTTTTTTTCTCAACAACTGAGAATCTTTAGAGAATATAACTCCAACGTGGCTGTTCACGTAAAGAAAATGAGAATATTTGGTAATTTAAAAGTGTAAAAGAAAAGGTATATATCAATGAAGAAAATCCCGAACTGGCAGACAGTTAGCACAAACTTGTAATGTACGGATACAACGAAAACGGATGTTCGTAGGTCATAGTGGTGGACATAGTACAATTTCGATTACGATGTCAATCAACACGATTGTATATTTTAGTTTTTTGTTATATTCTTACACATCAATTAATGTGATACAATTTGCCATTTTTAAAAAGTGGTTTGAAAAGTGCATTATCAATGATCTCAGAACATGTCCCTATATTGTAGCCACAAATTAACAAAACTTTAGATTATTTGTTTCAAAACTTAAACTCTGCGTTAACGAATTGTTTGGGGATATTTCAGGATTGTTTCTGTCTAAAACCTTTAAAGACTATTAAAAATGGAAAATAGTACAGTAAAAGCCAAATTGCCAACAAAACACGATTACTATCAAATGCTTTAAATGTTTTAACAAACTACAGTTTGCATGTTTAAGATCGGTAAGTCATTAGTGTATGCCTTGTTGCATATTTCATCAAAACTTGGTATCGTCCGGGTGGTTTCTTCAATATAAAGACCTATCGTTCTGAAAAGAAATAACTCAATATAAGTAAGTTAGGTATACATTTTATGTACGAGGAAATCACCTTCAACTACAGCTAAAGTCAACGGAACTCACAAAATGAAAACAACACTTCATGATTAGGTACATTCGAAGCGCTATTCGAAATAAACCTTCAAAAGGAACGCTCAAATAAAAAAAAATGACACACAAAGATGTATAAATGCTGGAATACTTTTGGAGCTATATGATCAGAATTGACAAAAAAAGTTTATATGTAGAAAATTAAGTAAATTAGTGCTTTGCGTGCTTTTGTGTTTCGTGTAGATTAATAGACCTTTTAAATTTGGCAGAGAGTTAACCGAAAACAAATTATCAAGCTTAAAACCCGATACGTTCACTAATCTTGGATCATTGGTTGTTTTGTAAGTATTTTATTTTTTAATGTAAACTGTTTAATTGAAAATCATTATAACGTAACAGACAAGTTGTAATTCATTGTGGATAATGTGTTTTGTGTTAAACAAGAACACGAGCGCGTCATAAAGAAATACATCTATTTTTTGCCACAATGTTGTGTTTATCATGTATTTTTTTTAATGTAATAAAAAGTGTGGGTCAGAGGGTTTTTTTCAAGCTACAAGTTGTGCAAACTTGTCAGATTTTTTATAGATTGTTAATGGAAAACCCAATTTTGTGTGACAAAAGAAACTAAACGATGGAAATTTTTGATAAAATATGAGAAGTAAAGAAAAAACGGGGTCACGGGACTTGTTTTCACTAGTAAATGAATTTAAGTCTTGAACGCTCATTGATCTTCACACCATTTGGAAAATCTGAACAATAAATTCATGCAATAACTCAATGATGTTTTGTCTTTCTGTAAATTTTCAGACTTTTGCACTGCGTAAAATACAGTACTCTACAGTCAATTCACTAGCTGTCAATTCAGTAAAGCGTTCGATGTACCTTTCTGGATTAACCTTTACCAGGAATGCTCAAATCTAATCCCTTGAAAGCTACGAAAGTGTAACTAGTTCAAGTTCAAGTTCAAATTCTGTATTGTAAACTCTCAAACACATATAGTGTTACAAGAGGAATTCAGTACATATATTCAAATGGAAATGGCAGCTAAAATATACAAATTTGTATCATTAAATTATGAGCAGATGTTTTATCTGAACAGTACAGCTACTTACAATATTTTTTCTAAATTCCTCAAAAATATAGCTATATTCTTTAAGACCTTAATATTACATAATGAGAATAGTCCAGATAATTTAAATATACAGATGAATAACGTGTATATTATGTTGGAATGCATTGAGTTCTAAGAGACGTTCCTTTGATATGGTTACATACAAACACGTAGTGGTATTCATTACCTATTTCATTCAAGTTACACAAATGACAAGTCATGTGTTTCATGGATGTACCAACCCATCTACCTGTTTCGACAGGAAATTTAACATTTGAGCATCTTAGTTTACATATAGAAAAACGATCAACTTTATTTAGTTTGTATTAATTTAGCAGCTGGAAACCTTTATCATCAATTGACCGGAAAGTACCCAGACAAAACAAATAATACAAGATGGTCTAGAGTTATACATTCTAGTTGCTCAAGTTGTGTATCTTTTGATTTTCTTTACAGTTTTCCTTTTATTTGTCTTGGTGTTATTATGTTCCTTTTGGTCGCATGACTCCTGACGTGACTCGGTATTATATATCTGACTATTGCGTTTGTGGCTTTTGGAGCTCCTTGTGCAGGTGGGTGCAGAGGAGGTAAACAAAGTATAACAAAATTCCAAACTCAAAGACAAATTCAAATAGGGGAATTCCCTAAAAACTAACAAAGTCAAACTCTATCAATCAACGGAACAAGTGAAACACAATTATATGACGAGAGTTTCACTGTTCCAATAGCCATACTCATCATACCATGTCATGTGAAAATCCATATTAGTCATCCTGTAAAATATATCATATTCCAGTATTGTTCTTTATATACTGATCACTCCCATTTTGTGTTAAGATAAATGCAGCGAATATGATAATGAAACGGCACTAATTGTTTATATAGAGACAGGGGGATTGAAAACAACTGTGCTGTATCTAACACAGTCATTTATAAGCATCATTTGTTGTGATGATTTATTTAAAAGTATGATATATCAAAAATTATCAACTATTGACTTGTTCTCGCTGATGTATGTCAACGACTTTTTGAAAAACAGCATATGATTAAAAGACCATTGCATATCAAATTAATTTCCTTTATTGCATGTCCTGCTTTTATTTAAATGTTGGCAATATTTGCAATCCAGGTCGTTATTCGATAACATGTTGACAACGGTATCAGCTAATATATTTGCGAAAGTATCAAGGTTTCAAATTTTGTGAGTATTATTGGCATATCTTAAAACGCTACTTTTTATCTTCATATATACTTAGAGCTCATGATTCAATACCGCATAATTTGAATGAAAATTACCATTCTTAGTTGAAAGAAGTTTTACTTTTAGTAGTTAACTTATTCATGTTATATGTCAAATTTTCCCCAAATATATTTATTTTTAATGATTACAAATTGATTTTACTATATTTTCATTTAAAATTTTATGATAGTACATTAATTTTCTGTCTTTAACCGCGTGTTTTTACACGTTGTGTTATTAAAAATGATTTCATTGAATAACTGTAAATTTACAAAAGGAAGTATATATACGTTAAGGTGTATTTAAATGGCAGGGCAATGGGCAGAAATCCACTGATATGCTGTTCCATGACTGATTGGTTTCAATGGGCTGCCAATCAAATCATAGCCGACTTCTTTACCGGCACTTGCACTGAAAATAGTACTAAAATACAAGATTTTGATGTATCAAAGTGTCCAGGTTAGTATTTCTTAGTTTTATTTAAAGAGTAAACCAACCATAGATGTGCCAGAAGGGAAGGGCACACAATCGTCATTAAAATATACATTATATGAATTATAGTTTATAATTGACTTCTATAACTTGTTCGTAATAAACTAAATGATGATATAAAACAATCACAATTGGAAATGATGAAAAAGTGGCTTTAGCATTGAATTACAGTTATTTTTATTTATACAAAAGAAAAGCAAGCATCCATATCACAATGCAGGAACGGAAGCGTTTATCACTTAAAAGATGATGGTCATTTGCTTTCATTACGTATAAATTTTCCAAAACACATCATTTAATTCTTATATATGCAGATTTCACAATACACAAAGATATTCACATGTTGAATCAGTGAGTAATACTTTAAACACAAAAGTACGGCAGCAATTGTCTAGTGCGATGAAAACAGTACCACACAATGTGAAATTGGTTATATTTGTTTCCAAATTTTCAAGAACAAAGTGCATATCAAGGTGGAGAGAAAGCGTAGTGGTTTGAACTATTTTTCTATCTTTTTCTGTTCTTAATATCATACCCAACCATTACACTTTTGCATCTTATGAGTTAAAACCTATTCATAGATTACAAGCACTGACATTTGTGACATGAAATTTAAGACATAACTTTCTAAGAAAAGTTCCCTTTGAAACATGAAGATAATCAAATTAAGAATTGTAAAGAAACTTTTTTTTATGAATCATTATAGAATTAAGAGATAATTTAGAAGAAACTTTTGTTTATATTTAAAAGTTGATGGCGGATGGAGCTCCTGGTCGAACTCAACATGTTCCGTCACATGTGGAAACGGAACTTTGTCCAGAAATCGAACTTGTGACAGTCCACTACCTTCCAGGGGCGGAAAAAATTGTAATGGGTCGAGTGTGGATTCATCAGATTGCAGCTTAAGTGATTGTCCAGGTATTTGTATTTACAGGATTCAAAATAAAACCCATGTCTGTTTAAAGAAATCATGTATCCAATTTATTGGTAAGGCAGGGAGATTAAAAAAACAAATATACAAAATGTTTAAAAATAAAAGAACTTCGATCTAAACATGCTAAAATATTCATGAATCTGACCAATAAACGGTGATGGAACGGACTGTTTCTAGTTCAGAATCATAGCAAAAAGTAAAATAACAAAAAAACCGAACTCCAAGGAAAATTCAAAACTAAAAGTCCCTTATCGAATGGCAAAAACAAAAGCTCTAACACATTGAACGAATGGAAAACAACTGTCATATTCCTGAAATGGTACCGGCATTTCCTTTTGTAAAAAATGGTGGATTAAACCTGGTTTTATAGCTACATGTAAATTAACCTCTAACTTGTATGACCTTCGCATAAAATTCCAATATATTAACAACAAATGTTGGTTTGAGCATTCCTGGTGAAGGTTGAACCAGAAAAGCGTTCTGATGAAATTTTTATTTTGAAGAAAAAAAGTTCCAGTTTGAAAATAAATACTGATGTTAAAAGGTGACAACTATTTAGGAGATAATTGCATTGGTTTTTTTTTAGTTAACCTTAGTAAAACGTTTGTTTTACTGTTGCAATTTAAGTTTACCTAGCGACACGTTATGAAGATATGTAGAGTGATAACAGTAAAATAAATTGTACGTAATACAAGCTTAAAATACAATACAGTTATCACATTTCGAAGGCAAAATTAACAGAAATTCTCGCATTAAACACAAGTTCCAGAGAATTGTTGGATCTATGTTAGCTTTGGAAAAAATAAAACTTTACATAAGATATAATTTCAGGTGAGAAATCTGCAAATGTCTTTATGATTAAAGAAACCACATGCCACACAGGCGGTCTAATTTATTTATGGACTGCTTTATTGAGACTTTAACAAATATCAAAGCAACGCAGACACGTAGCGAAATGTGTCAATGATGTACTGAAAAAAGTTTACCAGTTTTTTTGTTATCGATACTTAACGCTTATAAAGAAACAATAAAAGACTAATATTTAGACTTTAAACGAAGTTAAGTCAACTTCCGTATGTCATATACTTCATGGACTACAAAAAAGCAAAATTTCGTGATTTCCTTTTTTGGAATGCAGTCGGTTTAAACCAATTATACAGTGAAAAAAAATGAACATACTGATCATTATGGAGACATTTATAACTTATCGGGATACCGAGTTTATAACGACACTACAGATAACTGTTATTCTGTTATGTAGAACAGATTGGTGAGAAAGCCTCCATCAATTACACTTAAAATTGAAAATATTTCTTATGATTCAGTTTTTGTAAAGATTGCTAAATTGATGAACATTTAAACCAACATTATTTTGAATAGCCAAACCTCTCTAAGGTATTTTTGCGAACAAGAATTTCAACAACCTCAAAAACCCGTATCGGTATCCTCTACTTCTAACAGCTACATCTAGCGCCGATTGTTTTTTGCAACTTTGCCTACAAATCGATCATATAAGTTTGAATTAACTTTGGAAAGGTTATATTTTCTTTTGTGTGTCCTATGGTATGAACAGCTGAACATAACGTTTCATTACATGGCACCTGATAAAAAGCTGTATCTTTGTTGAAAGCATCTTTGTGACAAAAAACAGACGTTGTTAAGTCCCACACAAACATTTCAATAATAGAGATATGTTGGGTTTTTTTTTAACATAAATGTGGTTTTTTTTACTTAAAATTGGTTTCAACGGTAATCACGCTAACCTTTTTTTCTCATTAATCTACTTTGTCTTGAGTCTAAAAAGATAAATGTTTTGAAAACAATAATGCTGTCAAATATTAAATATGTATATATATAAACTTCGAAAACTTATTCAAATAAAGTTTCATCTGTTATAGTTGATGGTCAGTGGGGTTCCTGGTCGACTGGACCATGTTCTGTCACATGCGGTAATGGTATTCGATATAGAAAGAGAAGTTGTGACAGCCCATCAAAATCTAACAATGGACAAGATTGTATTGGTTCCAACATATTCACCGTAATCTGTACCTTAGGAGCATGTTCAGGTACGTTAACATATAAAGCAAGAAACGCTTATCATGATTTATAAGATTTAAACATTGATTTCCTTCTGTTGTCTCTAAATAATTTTATAGTGATTAAGAGTATAACACAATGTTGACTGCTATACCCCAATTGTTGACATTTTTTCCTATTATGTCTGTTTGATTTGCTCACACATTGTTGTCAATTTAATGTTGTACCCATGTCTATAAACCTCAGATCCCTTTGGTAGCTTGCTTATGTTTACTTTTTGCTAGGGTTATTTCCATGCAACAGACGAAAACCTGACATTTATGGAGCTATTGAGAATACATACAAAGGTGTTGAAGAACCTAAAAGCCGGCTGAATGTGACATGAAGTATTTTGAAAGTTGATTTGACAAATTTAAAGACCATGTTGAGATTCATTCGTGTATATAATGAAAAAAGTAAAAAAATATCAAAAATACCAAACCCCAAGAAAAATTCAAAACGTCCCTTATCAAATGGCAAAATCAAAAGCTCAAACACATCAAACGAATGGAAAACAACTGTCATATTCCTGACTTGGTACAGGCAATTCCTTATATGGAAATGGTGGATTAAACCTGGTTTTATAGCTAGCTAAACCTCTCACTTGTATGACAGTCATATTGCAGTCCATTATATTGACAACTATGTGAGCAAAACAAACAGACATACTAGGCAAAAATGTCAAATATTGGGGTACAGCAGTCAACATTGTGTTATTATCTTAATCACTATTAAAACAAATAACTATTTAAACAAAGAAAATCAAAATGGCATATAGACACTCCATAGATAAAGTACATAAGCAAAAATGAAAGACAAGAATACAAAAATTACCATAGCATAATAACAAAATGTAGTACGCATACAACTGTGATAACTATCAACCGTAACGTAAATATAAGAACAATAGGTCACCGTAGGGCCTTCAACAATGAGAACTACTCATACCGTATTGTAAGTCCTGGACATGACTAAATATGAAACAAGTAAAACAAGTAAAACAAGTAAAACAAGGAAACCAATGACCTGAGTTATGCATAAAATATAAAAAAAAATATGGTAGACAGCAACCAACGACAACCATTTTATTACAGGCTCCTGACTTGTGACTGGCAAATGAAAATGTGTCGTGGTCAAACATGTTTCTGAGTGCTCAGTCCTCTGCCTAACTTCTGACAGTAGTTGAACATATCCAATTAGAACAAACTGTAAAAATTCAAATGAAAATGGCACGTACTTAATTTGCGAAATAATATACGGATGGTAAATAAATAAAATACTAGTCATTGTGTCAATGAAATTTCTGTACATTGTTATTGGATCTATATATTATTATCACGAATAACGCCAACAGAAGACGTAGTGCTGACTTAAATAATGAATTCATATCATGTAATTTTTGTTTTACTATCAAACTTAATTTATATATAGCTGATCACTTGAATTGAATGTGTAAAACTGTATTTACAGAATCATGTAAAGAATCAGAAAAGAAACTAGGTAAATGATTTTAAACTTACAATTTTATTTGACGAACGCGGATCTAAAAAATAAACATCACTTTATTAATTTCATGCGTCCGATGCGCTATACTGCTATCATTTTGTAACACATTTATGACTTGAAGCGCTATATTTGTATGCTCATACTATGATTGTATAGTAATATGTTTTCGGTCTATATTATAAGCCGTCGATTGATCCGTTCATCTTCCCCAATAAGGTTAAAAAAATTTGTCAAGGTTTTTCCCCAGAAAGTTGTGGTCAATTTACTTTAAACTTGGTACACAAGTACATATGACGTGCAATATTTGAAATCTAAATTTTATGCCAAATTTAGGGTTTGAATTCGACGTCAACGTTCTTGAATAAAGCAATGTAGTAAAATCGGGACATTGTGTCATATGGAAATTATTGTTTATTTCATTTTGATATGTAAATACTGTACGTTTGATATGTCAACGGACCGCCTCGATGGTCTCGTGGTAGCGTTTTCGCCTCGGGTGCGGAAGGTCATGATCAAACAACAGACTTTAAAATTGGTATTTGCTGCAAATACCAATGTCATATCAAGCACGCGGCATTAAGGAGTAAGAGCAAAGACGGGTCAGCTCGGAGTCAGAATGATATGTCCTGGTTTGGTGACATGTCTGCCTGCCGACTTTTTTGTAAACCAAATTTAGCTAGCGACATATTTTAATAGCCTTAGAACCAGAATAGTTGTATAATCTGTAGTTTTACCGATTGTCAAGCCTGTCATGATTGTGATTTAAAACGTCCAGTAATGCATGCATAGTAGGAGACGATAATCCTCTCGATCCACCTTCAGTTTTTGTAAGTTTCATTAATGTATTAGTATGGTGAACTTATGGATATAAAATGTCTGTTTACTACCTAATACATGTTTTGTAATATTCTTTGAAAATCGAGATTGAAATAAAAATATGTGAATGTTATTTTTTTTTATTATTCTTTTTATCATGTAGAATCAAAGAAAATATAAGCAAGAAAATGGAAAAGATATCAGAATAGAAAACTGAATAGAAGAACAGATACAAACAACAACTAACGTGTACTACATGTTTGTCTTGTAACTTAGGGAAGATGCAAGACAATGGAATTATTTCTCGAATAAATTCAGAGGGATTTTATGAATAATCTATGTTTTGTCTGAGATTGCTAATTATTTACTATGGGTTATCTTTTCCTTCTTTATTATATCTTATTTGAACAATGTTTTTGGTAGGTCTACATCAAAGTGACTGATAATTTGCATGCTTAAAACAACTGATCTATATTTTACTATATGAAACTTCAACCAATCTGTATGAATATGTATTTTGGAATAACAGATCTAATCTATTTTATCTGGATTTTATTTTTTAATAAATATGTATATCATCTTAGTGTTTTATTTCTTATACATGCCAATACATATTTGTCCCTGATGAAGATAAATATAGATAAGAGCTTCGGATGCAAATACTCTACAAAGTGCCATTTTCATTTTCTAGGACTTGGTCAAGACAGCAGTCAGTGCTTCAGTACTGACATGATTTATAACAAAAATTAAGGTTTCCATCAGGCAATGTTTACCTTTGATGAATTTTGCCATGTTTTCATTTCATCTTTGCTCTTCGAATGCTTCGGTATTTATACATACTTGGCTTTCAAATCTGTGTCTTTGAGAGTTCCTGATGAAGGTGAATCCAGAAAAACGCTCAAAACGAACCAAATTTATAAAGTGTTATTTTTATTTTAAAATCATTTTGGAATAATCCTGTCCTGCAGTTATAAATATACATGTATATATAAAAAAAATATTGTGACTGCTTCAACCGTCACTTTCTTTGACCTTCACAGCGTTCGAATCTTTTTAATCTATAAATGAATAATAACTTGGTTCAATTCAAGCGCCACTGATGAATCATTTGTACACGGAAAGAGTGTGCCGGATGTTGACAGTTTAAAGCATAATATATTGATGACTTTTTGAATAGAAAGCATCATTTATTTGTCAAAAATATTTCACTTATAGACAAAAAAATATATAACAGATATCGGAGGATTAACGATACTGATAAAGTTTCAGAATGATACGAACAAGAGCACGCACTGCAAGCTACTGTGTTAAACCACTATGTTCTTTATGTCTCATCCAGTTTTTGTAATCATTATCAGAGAAAAAAACAACTAGAACATGATAAGAAGTACAATCAACAGAAAAAGTCAATCAAACGTCGAAATCATGGAGATAGTTTGTTTTCGAAATACGGCTTTAAATTGCCGGTCATAAGAATCTTCTTAATCCCCAAATCAAAATGATGAAATGAGTTGGAGATTAGGAAAAGGTCGCAAAATAACGTTTTTATGATAGTGCCAGAGGTGGCAAATGGTGTTGAAAGAAAAGAATAAGAAATTGTTAGAAAGAAACACCCTGCTTTTTTACAAATAACGAGAACTGTTGACGAACATTTCTTTTAACATCAAAATAAAAATTAGAAGAATTGGTATGATTGCCAATGAGATAACTGTCCTCCAGAGTTGTTGAATGCTATTGTGTAGGAGTGTAAAATGCCATTGCGTAGTAGGATAAGTTGCTGAATGCCACACGTCGTGTTTTTCATGTAAGCACAAACTCGGTGATAAGTATTATTCGGTTGGTCACATTCGAGGCAGCTACAAAAGGCCCTGACATGACAATATTTTTAACAATTAATAAAAGAAAAAAAAAATGTTTTTCTTTTGATCCTAAATATGTATCTTTCCCAGTTTAATAAAATTACCACGTAAATTTGACAACGTTATTGGTATCTATAAAAAATTAAAACTACAGAATAAATGTAACCGAAGTCGACAGCGACTGAAAATAGGATCACTGTATGTCTCGCTTCCTCGACAAAATATCGCAGACTCGACAATCAAATGTCATAAACAACGTTATCCATCTCGTTGCCATTTAAAACAAAATGCCATAATAAATTGTAAGGAATCCTTGTCCTCTGTATTAATTAGTATCTTAATAGGTATAATCTTTGTAGGCAACAGTTTGCGAGGGTGAGAGAACCAGCCATGTTCAGACACTGATTTTTATTAGCCCATGCAAGATAGTGTTTTCGGTAGAAAAATATCGATAATTATGAATTTAAAAAAAACAAACATGCTTACAGAAGGATTGATTGATTGATTGGTGTATAACGCCACTTTCAATACTATTGTGCTATTTCGTGGCGGTCAGTTTTTATTGGTGGAGGAAGCTGGAGTGCATGGAGAGAACCACCGACCTTCGGTAGGAAAACTGACAATCCTAGTCAATTAAGGTTGGAGTCGAGTGCACCTACCCCGTGCGGGATTCAAACTCACAACCTCAGTGATGACTGGCTAGTGATACAGAAGTTCGACTACTTAGACCCAAATCAAAATGATGAAATGAGTTGGAGATTAGGAAAAGGTCGCAAAATAACGTTTTTATGATAGTGCCAGAGGTGGCAAATGGTGTTGAAAGAAAAAAATAAGAAATTGTTAGAATGAAACATCCTGCTTTTTTACAAATAACGAGAACTGTTGTCGAACATTTCTTTTAACATCAAAATAAAAATTAGAAGAATTGATATGATTGCCAATGAGATAACTGTCCACCAGAGTTGTTGAATGCTATTGTGTAGGAGGGTAAAATGCCATTGCGTAGTAGGATAAGTTTTTGAATGCCATTGTGAAGTGGGGTAAGTTGTTGAACACCATTGTGTAGTAGGGTAAATCGTTCAATGCCATTGTGTAGGAGGGTAAGTTGTTGAACGCCATTGTGTAGTAGGGTGAGTTGTTGAATACCATTGTGTAGTAGGGTAAATTGTTCAATGCCATTGTGTAGAAGGACAGGTTGTTAAATGCCATTGTGTAGTAGGGTAAGTTGTTCAATGCCATTGTGTAGTAGGACAGGTTGTTGAATGCCATTGTGAAGAAGGGTAAATTGCTAAATACCATTGTGTAGTAGGGTAATAAATTGTTGAATGCCATTGTGTAGTATGGTAAGTTGTTGAATTACATTATGTAGTAGGGTAAGTTGTTGAATACTATTGTGTATTAGGGTAAATTGTTCCATTGACATTGAGACATAAAGAGATATGCAATTTACTGACGTCAGTCGTTGAAGTTTGTATGCGAACGTATATGTATCTTCAATAGTCACGCTGTTTGGTTGCTGTCTGTTTGTCCTTTTCTCGAACCATTACACTTTTTGTATGAAATTAGCACGGCATACATATAATACGTTCAAAGTGCCTTTCTTAGTTTGTGTACATCAGAAACGCTAGAACTCCAAACAAAAAAATGCCAAGGATGTATACATACCTAAATTGGAGTCATATTCAAAAGAGACCTGTTTTGTAAATCATCCCATTATTAAAGCACCAACTACTGAGCTGATGATACCTTTCGGGACGAATCGTTCACTAACAGCGATTGATTCAGTGCTAGGTAATAATATTAACACTTTGTAAAAGCATACCCTGCTCAACGTATGGCACACGTCGTGTTTTTCATGTAAGCACAAACTCGGTGATAAGTATTATTCGGTTGGTCACATTCGAGGCAGCTACAAAAGGCCCTGACATGAAAGGAAAAGAACTTGATGAATTTCAGAACAAAAATTATAAAATGGAGAAAAACAAAACACTTCACCAATGGAAACGATGAAATATTGAGATATCCAAATAAATTAAATCCAAATAGTTTAAAGAAATAAGTAAAACATAGATATCTTTAAAATATTGAATACTTCAAAAATATGAGTGAGTGGCCTTTTAAGGACGTCATGCTTTGGACTTAATTTTTGCGAGATTTGGGATTTAAATACACTTAAAATTGAGAATGGAAATCGGGAATGTGTCAAAGAGACAACAACCCGACCATAGAGCAGACAACAGCCGAAGGCCACCAATGGGTCTTCAATGCAGCGAGAAACTCCCGCATCCGAAGGCGTACTTCAGCTGGCCCCTATGGTATGGACTCGGGAATGAATTATTAATTTTTCGGGTTACTGGGTGTTCAGTATTCAGAAAGTGTTTATTTGCACTGGAATTCTTGATGAAAACCCTCCTTCTCCCAAGATGAAGATTGTATGCATCATCATCTAAGATCAAGGAGTAAGGAAAAATACGATATGAAAAATTCCATATTTAAAATTAGGAGCTCTGAACTAGCCAGATGTGTTTCAATAAGCTCCATATGCTCGTTTTGGCACACGGTTAAATGAAAGTTTTTTTTAAAAATAACAGATCATGGATACTAGTAATCTACAATATTAAAATTTCAGTGGGATCACAGGCAAATGGATCAACCCCAACATGCATATGCGGTTGGAAAAGTTATTCGTTGTTTTATATATATATATATACATATATATATGTATATAAGTCTAGAGATTTGCACAACGATACTAATATAAGATGGTATTATACGAGGATGTTGTTAATAAATCGTGTTGACAAATATTTCGACTTAACAAATAGTCTTCTTCAGTGTCAATTATTTTAACAATACTGATTATATGTATAAAAATAGCTTAATAATACAGGTAAGTTTTGGTCTATTGATTTAATCCAAAATCCTGAACATCATAATATAAAACAAAACTCAATACTCAAATATACGTGACTGTGTATATTTACATCCCAAAAATGAGTGAAAAATAAAACTTAGTATTTTTATTGATGCCGTTTGGATGATGTACATTTAGTTCCTTTATCCAAAAGCTTTCCCGAACCTGTCGCTGGGCATCACTCCAGTGAATGTTCTGTTCAATCACTAGGATCTTCATGCGGTTAAAGTCATCAAGTTTGTGACCAGACTGTCTGAAATGCTGAGAAACTGGGAGAAGTGGCTTCTTAGAGATATCACTCCTATGGCCATTGAGGCGTTAGTGGAAAGGCTGCTTTGACTCACCAACATATTGGAGGTCACAAACCGAACATTCTAGAATGTAAATAACATTCATACTTTTGCAGTTAACATTGCAAAATATCGTATAGTTATTTTCGGTTGCCTTAATGTGAAAAGTTGATGAGTGATGCATCTGTTGGCAGCATTTGCAGCG